GTCCTGACTCAAGGGGCTCTTTTGGTTCCTCAGTACCATGATGCTTCCCTAATCCATGAAAGTTGTAATCCCAACTTACTCTCTACATATCTGTATGTTATCTTTTTTACATTTTTGTATCGTATCAACTGTATGTCTGTATGTATTGGTCTCCATGTTTTGATTTTCTTTGACGTTCTTGGGTGACATGTTGTGGAATGATTCAATTTCTTTATTTCATTGAATATTGATTGGTCATGAAAACTTATAAGCTTTGGTATCAGAAGAAGAAAAGTGTTCAAGTTTATATGGAAACCTTGAAGGTTGTTTTGGAATCTACACCTCAAGTTATTTCAATGTATTATTTTGTAATACAAGCAGTAGTTTGAATCAGGCTTGTTGAAAAAAGAGCACAAAGTGGGGAATTGAAGCAGTCTCATGAATACTTAGCATAAGCACCGTTAATAACTCCATACTCCCATGTCCCATTTTAATAGGTTGGTAATCAACCAATTAGACTTATAGACTAGAACATTACAATTTACAATTAATATAAAGGACAATTTTCATTTGTATTTTCATCTGATAGTATTTCTATTTGGAAAGTTGCAAAATACAATAATTGCATTGCTCTGTATCGCTCTCATCTCCTTAAATTTTGTGTGTGAATAATAATGCGATACACATGGGTTTTGGGCGCCTCTCATCCATCCCACGTACTTTTAATTTGATACTTCCTTTGGTAATTGTAATTGTAACATATTCTCTTGGTACACATTCTAAGAAAGATATATACATTAGTTTTCCAACCCTTCTCCACCAACTGAAGTTCAAGTAATTTTAATTAGCCAGTTTACTTTTTTTTTTCTTTCTTTTGAGAAACAATTAGCCTGTTTACTTATTCTAACCTCTATCTTAAAATAACTGCCAATGTGACATGAAACGGAGTTAATATTAATTTCATTTGCGATCTTTATGCTTGGGAGGAGGGGAAGATAGGTAAGCTCTAACCACCTACGCTAGGGCTCAAATTTGGAAACTCAAAGTTACCTAGTTTAAATATATGCTAGTGGGGAGACTTCAACTTAGACTTTTCTCAAACTTTCTCTTAGGTTTAATTTGCATTTTACTAATAATTGTATTTATTTTTTGTTGCTACTAATTAGGAATAAAAAACATTGTGCCTCACTGGCTCAATGTGACACTGTTTGCAACTTTTATGATGGTTGATGAAAATGCATGACCAGCTTGTTTTATAGACAACCTTTTTCCTGTGTTTTTTCTTTGTTCAATTGTCCCAACTGTTTTTTTCGCAATAATAATAATAATAATAATAATAATAATAATAATAATAATAATAATAATAATAATAATAATAATAATTATTATTATTATTATTATTATTATTGAAAATTATTTGATGTGAACCGTGGTAGGGTTTGTCAAGTCGGCATTGTGAATTTGTGATGTTGCTGTTGATTGGTCTTGGAAAATGTGGGCATATTTCTAGTTCAATTTACTGTACTAATTTTGATAAGATTATGTAGTATTGAATGTGGGCAAATTGGACAAGTCCATACTATGTTTTCCTTTCCCCCAAAAGAATATGTAGAATGACACTATATTAATCATATAAATGGACCAACATCAGAACATGCACAATAAGACAATACCATATACTTGTATTTTACAAAAGATAAAAAAAGTTAGGTAATTGAATAAATTGACAATAACCATTACTACATTTATGGTAGGTATATGATGCGCATTAACAAATCTAATCTAATCTAATATATATAAATAAAGTAGGTATTTTTGGAGAGCATTCGAAGCGTCACATAAGAAATATACTTATTTCGACCAATAAGAAGAAAAATTTGTATTTATTTTTGAATTAAAAAATTATGTCGCCACCTAGATAAAAGTAACGAATTAGATTTGATATATCTAAAATTTTAATGCCACGTACATTATAATTCACAAATTAAATTATTTTAATGAAAACAAATAAAGTAAAAATATAGGAAAAGATAAATTTATTAATTCAATACTACGAGTATAAGAAATCCGAAAAAAATATACTAAATTTTTTTTAAATGATAAACGCTTATAATAAAGTTTGATACCTATCATTATAAGATAAATTTTGATAGTATTTATGATAAGAATACAAATTGTTCGTTAATTATAATTAAATTAAAATTTGTGATATCTACCATTATAAATTGACACATCATACGACACAAACAAAATTTCGTATCAATAAAAAATCTCATCAAGCGAATTTTGTATTAGTATTTTTGTGTTAATATTTTGGTCATCAATGGCTGGGTAATTTTTAGCTTGATTTTTAAATCCTATGTTTAAATAAGTATTTCTAATTATTACTTACATTGTATTAATTTGGGATACTCAACGATTATATGTTTATGTTTTATTTACTAAATGTTCTTTTACATGCAGATCTAACACATCATACAACACAAATAAAATTTCTTATCAATACAAAACCTCATCAAGCGAATTTTGTGTTAGTAATTTTGTGTTAGTTTTAGGTCATCTATGTCCGGGTAATTTTTAAAATCTTATGTTTAAATTTATATTTGTAATTATTAGTTACATCCTATTTATTTAGGATACTTAACGATTATTTGGTTATGTAATGGCATACGATTAGATGTTGTATACTTAATATATGGATGGTTTTGGTTATTTTTGGTGATGAAGAAAAAATTCCAATGCATAAATTTGATTTTATATCGCAACAAATTTTCATTTATTGGTAAATATATTGATTTATTTTATATAAATGTAAAGATTTAATTTATATCAATTTCAGTTTGGCTAACATTTCACGGTTCAATTTATCCATTGATGTGGTAGGTTGGTTGTGGACGAGGTTGGTGATTCTATCGAAATAAAAGATATGATAAAACAATGAATAATGATTTAGGATTTAAATTATTAAAAATTTATCATTTCACATTAAAGATTTTATATAACGGAAAAAATATCATATTTACAATTTATTTATATACGATAAATTCATTATAAATTATAGTAAAAAAAATATTAAACTTTTGTAATTTTGTCTCAAATTATTAAATATAATAAATCAAATAATTAAAAATCTTAGATGAAAAAACCGTAATATACTTATTTCGACCAATAAGAAGAAAAATTTGTATTTTATTTTTGAATTACAAAATTATGTTGTCACCTAGATAAAAGTAAAGAATTAGATTTGGTATATCTAAAATTTTAATGCCACGTAGATTATAATCCACGAATTAAATTATTATAATGAAAACAAATAAAGTAAAAATATAGGAAAAGATAAATTTATTAATTCAATTCTAAGAGTATAAGAAATCCGAAAAAAATATACTAAAAAATATTTAAATGATAAACACTTATAATAAAGTTTGATACCTATCATTATAAGATAAATTTTGATAGTATTTATGATAAGAATACAAATTGTTCGTTAATTATAATTAAATTAAAATTTGTGATATCTACCATTATAAATTGACACATCATACAACACAAACAAAATTTCGTATCAATAAAAAATCCCATCAAGCAAATTTTGTAATGGTAATTTTGTGTTAATATTTGGTCATCAATGACCGGGTAATTTTTAGCTTAATTTTTAGAATCCTATGTTTAAATTAGTATTTCTATGTTTACCAATATTTTTAAAACAATGAATAGTATTTCTATTTAAACATAGGATTTTAATTTATATAAAACGAGGTTGGGGATTCTATCGAAATAAAAGATATGGTAAAACAATGAATAGTGATTTAGGATTTAAATTATTAAAAATTTATCATTTCACATTAAAGATTTTATGTAACGGAAATATCATATTTACAATTTATTTATATTTAATAAATTCATTATAAATTATAGTAAAAAAAAATATAAATTAAACTTTTCTAATTTTGTCTGAAATTATTAAATACAATAAATCAAATAATTAAAAATCTTAGATGAAAAAACCGTGCATCGCACGGGCTTCCATCTAGTTAATTTTAAACTAGTGTATAGAGAGACACTATAATAAATGGTAAAGTCTAGAATAGACCCAATGCACAATAAGTTATTGTGCACCAACCATATAGTATATCATATGAAATGTGATTATTTCATACGAAATGTGATTATATCATTATAAAAGTGATTATACCATCCAAAAACTGATTATATAAATTTATCATTCTAAAAGTGAATTTAACATTTTTAAAAAAGTATCGAACAGTAATTAAATCATTCGAAAAGTAATTATATCATCCAAAAGATAATTATATCATCTCACTAAATTGTTTAAAATACGATTATATCATTCAAAATATGACTCATAACAAGATAATTATATCATTACAAAAGTGATTATATCATCCAAAATGTGACTATATTATTTAACAGTGTTAAATTGGTCTATAATAATTTATTGTAGACCGAGTCCATACAAGACTTGCTAATAACAAATCGGTAAAGTTACTTTATAACTCCATCTATCATCAATTGGTTTTATAATATGATCACGCGTTCATCATTGAGTAGCTCATTTTGGATGTTTTATCATAGTCTTCTCTTATATTACACATGTTTGCCCTTAATATCTTCAATTGCGAATAAGGATGAAATATAGAAAATTTAGAATAAGGCTAACGTCCCATATTTAGTCACTTTCTGAAGTCATAGGGATTAAATTTATCCCTCGACATTCGTTATATAGATCCGTACAAAGTGCAGGGATTCTGGAAAGATCTTTGATGCTACGAGCACATCCAAATCTTGATGGGTGAACATTCATGATATGAAATCATGGACAAATAAATAGAGGTGGATTGGATAAGATATTAATTATTATTAAAATAGCTCAATAGTAAAAAAATTGATTCACATGCATGAATATACGGACCACCCATGCTACCCATCATTATTGTATTAATATTATTATATTTATAATAATTTTAATAAAATAACAAAAAATTGTCAATTTTCTTAATTAGGTATTACTTTTGTCATTACTTACTTCACAAAGATCCTGTACTCAGATCTCTAGTTTCTTCTTTTAGCTGCTCTCTATTCTCTCTCCTACTCAAAGGTTTGCATTTTATGAGTTTCTAATTGGTTATTTTTATGTCTGAATTTCATGGGTTTTGAGAGAGTTTTGATTAAGAATTTGTGGTTTGTGTAAATTGATTGAATAGTTAACTAAGTTGATGGGGTTTTTTGGGTTGATGTTTGATTCATGATTTTTGGTGGGTTTGTTAAAGTTGGGAACTTGAATTGATTTCTATCAAGGGTTTGTGGTAGAATCTTGAAATTTAGTTAGTGATAGTCTATTCTTGAAGGTACTATTACGATAAGTCTTGTATGAGACGGTCTTTCTTGATCAAGCTTTAATTTGATCATGGAAGCAATTATTTATTATTATTGTGCATAATTTTAGTCAAAGATGAATAGCTTTTAGCTTGTTTATTATTATGGTAGGTTATTTTATTCATCTTTAATTATTGTTCTAAATTGGACACATATGGGGTTGTTTGAGCTAAAATTCAATTAATTGGGGTATATAATTGGAGATTTGCTGGAATAATTTAATTATAGTGATGATGATTGTAGGAAATTATATATAAAGCATTGTCTGAACTAGTTAGTACGTTATATTAGATATGGGGAGCAGCTCTAAGACTATAGTTTGGTTTAGAAGGGATTTAAGAATTGAAGACAATCCTGCCTTGGCTGCAGCAGCCAGGGATGGTAGTGTATTGCCTGTGTACATATGGTGTCCAAAGGAAGAAGGGCAATTCTACCCTGGCCGAGTTTCGAGGTGGTGGTTGAAGGAATCCTTGATCCATTTGGATCAGTCATTGAGGTCACTTGGTGTTGAACTCGTGTTGATTAAGGCGGAGAGTACCCTTGATGCCATGTTGGAATGCATCAGTGCCACTGGCGCGAATAAGGTGGTGTTCAATCGTCTTTATGGTGAGTTTCGATACCTAATTCATGCTTGATTATGCTTTTTGCAAGTTTTTTGTGCTATACTTGTTTTTGCTACTGTTGTGTGCATTTGGTTTATAGGATCAAGAAGTCTATAATACTAGGATTTTGTTTGTAGTACTAACAAGAACTATATTCTGAGTTGATGGCGGTCATAGGAACAATACTTTAGACTACCTTACCTCTACGAGAAACACAGTGAGGCTTCATGGTGTTCAGGCTGTGATTTTATCTACAATCAATATAAAAATAAGGATTGAAATGGGGTAAGAAATCTTCTTGCTAACAATGATTTGGCTATTAGGCGACCAGCTAAGTTTAGGCCAGTGAAATCTTTCTTGTGTAAGAACAGCTAGTATAGCTTGATGCTCTTTGTTGAGATCTTCTCTTTAAGAATACGAGTAGAAAAGCAGAAAGATCAGTTTGTTATGGTAGGGAAATAAAGAAAAGATGCAGGATTCTGCTTGTTTGTTGATCCTCCATTGCATTATATTTCAAAATTAGAGATGTTTGTATTGTGCCTTAATTGAAGATAATAATAGACTTATTGGAAGTTAATATTTGTATTGTCCCTTAATCAAAGGTAGTAATTTATATCGTTGGTTTGTATGAGGAGCTCTTTCATCTCATAAATGGTCCCTGCTATTGCACAATACTCTGTCCTTTGTAGCCGTGGCTGATACTGTAGTCCTGAAATTGAATTGCATTTTCCTTGCAGATCCTGTCTCACTTGTTCGTGATCATAACATCAAGCAAAAACTTGGAGAACTAAACATTTCTGTACATAGCTATAATGGAGATTTGTTGTACGAGCCATGGGAAGTGTATGATGAAAAAGGACATGCTTTTACAACATTCGCTCCTTTCTGGGACAAGTGCCTGAACATGCATATGGATCCCGCTTCATTTCCTACTCCATGGCGTCTTGTGCCAGCTACAGGTGCATATTTTTATCATGTACTCCATTCCTTCCTTATCAATCTGACTTCTTAAGTAACTATTTTTACATCTGTCATTCGATTAAATTATGCATTGTTATATGTCAAGCATTACTTGTCAATTTTTAATGCATATGCTACCACCTTCATAGCCTTATAATTCACTTTTAAAAGAATGGAAGGAGTACAAATTTCTATAGTAACTTATAGTAAGGAAGTTTTTTTTATTAATCAGTGACTATTGTCTGACAGGATCATTTAAGAAGTTTTCAATTAGGGATATGGGTCTTGAGAATGATTCTGAAAAATCGAGCAACGATTTGCTAAAAAGAGCTTGGTCCCCAGGTTGGACCAATGCTAATAAGGCACTCACGGAGTTTGTTGAGCAGCATCTGCTTGAATACTCAATATGCAGGGTTAAGGTTGGAGGGAATTCAACATCACTGTTGTCCCCTTATCTGCATTTTGGGGAGTTGAGTGTAAGAAAAGTTTTCCATAGTGTGCAAATGAAGCTGATGGTGTGGGCAAATGAAGGGAACAGTTGCGGTTTGGAAAGTGCCAATATGTATCTAAGGGCTATTGGATTCAGAGAATATTCTCGATACCTTTGTTTTAACTTCCCTTTCACCCATGAAAGATCCTTGCTGAGCAACCTGAAGTATTTCCCTTGGAATTCAGATCAGACACTTTTCAAGGCTTGGAGACAAGGTCGAACTGGATATCCACTGGTTGATGCGGGAATGAGAGAGCTTTGGGCAACTGGGTGGACTCACAACAGGATGAGAGTGATAGTTGCAAGTTTCTGTGTGAAATTTCTGCTGCTTCCTTGGAGGTGGGGAATGAAATACTTTTGGGATACACTTCTAGATGCCGATTTAGAATGTGATATACTAGGTTGGCAATATATCTCTGGGAGCTTACCAGATGGTCACGTTCTACACCGTCTGGATGACCCAGAGGTACGTACATTAGCTGCTTCAGTTAACCCCTTCTGTTACATTACAGAACCTCTTTCTATCAGGATTCTAGTGTTCAGTTAATATGATATAAAGATGCATCCTTTGTTCTTTACATGTAAATAGATGATGTTGCTTATTTCTTTTTCTCTGTCTACGCCTCTATGGGCATGTTATGTTTCTAATCAGTTATTGACGTTGAGCTAAACTATGCAGTGAGATAAGGCTTTGTTTTTTTTCACCCAAAAAACCTTTATCTGAACTTATCACTTCTTAATGGACTAATGGCTCTTTCTTGAACTTATCTAAACTTGTCGGCCCTTATTTGCATGTGACTGCAATTCTAGTTCTGAATTGAACTTGGGTATTATCAACCTTATTAGTCTGAACTTATTTTACCTGAAACTTATGCGATTTTTTTTTTTTTTATAACTTTTTTAAATATTTAAAAGGCCTAACAATTCTCTAACATGATGCTTTTGAAATGCATACTAGCAAACACATAGTTCTTTGATGCCCTATAGGCAGTTGTTTGATGACAATTCTGTTATCAATTATGCTTGCTTTTGTTTCTTTATCACAATTTGTACTTTTGCTGTATATTTAGATACATATTTTAGGATAATGATTTTTTTTTTATTTTGTAAATCTTGCTATCCTTAATGTTGTGCCAGCTTCAAGGTTCTAAATATGATCCGGAAGGGGAATATATTCGGCAATGGCTACCAGAACTAGCAAGAATGCCAGCAGAGTGGATTCATCATCCATGGGATGCACCTGCTACAGTCCTAAAAGCTGCAGGAGTGGAGTTGGGATTCAATTACCCAAAACCAGTCGTTGAGATGGACACAGCCAGAGAAAATCTGACCGAGGCAATATGTTTGATGCAAGGAAAGGCAGGAGCTGAAGAAACAAATGGTACAAATGAAGTTCTAGTTGACAGCTCCGAGAAGGGTGGAAACACAGGAGATACAAGGTTTGATAGCTCTGAAAATTTCAGGAAATCATCTATCCCAGAGGTTGTCTTGAATGGAAAACCAAGTTGCATTACTGGGTCATCCCGTGATCAGCGGGTTCCCTCTATGCAAAATATGACTAATAATCTCTTACCAAATGGGAAGAGACCGAGAATTACTGTAGAAGATCGAACACCTGAACCTAATGTGAATGCTTGCTATGGAAATACTGAAGCACTAAGTGTCCAGGAAGAAGACTTGTGCTCTACAGCCGAATCTTCATCAGCTAAGAAACAGGCGACAAGCAGTTTTTCCTTCTGTGTCCCACATGGTTGTTCTGTATCATCTAAAGGAAAGGAATTGTTAGATTGCAAATCTTCTGATGTGAAGCCACCCTGGAATGAACATGTCGATGAAGAGTAGAGTTCAAGTTGGGAAGGTTTATATTGTAGTTTCTCTCAGAATAATCCCTCTCTCCTGAAGAATAGAGAGTACTTAGACAATCTTAACAGCTGCAGGAACAGCTACTGGGGTTTTATACTTTACAATACAAGCCTTGTTCGGATATGAAGTAGCCATACAAAAAGCAAAAGATCAGAGTTCAAGTCAAGATGGTCAGTAGTGTTGTTTCCTTTATATACTTGATGTGTTAGGTTTGCACATTCTGATGTAAGATAACTTTATTTTAAATATGTCCAACTTGCTGTTTCATTCAACTTATGTGAATTAGCACCATGACATGTTTATAAGGAACACGAATTCTGTTGTTTTCTTGACTTCTAATTTAACTTCTTATTGCGAGTTAAATGTATAAAGTTTGATTGTTTATAGGTTTGATGCTCAATATACTTCGTAATTTGATTTTGTTAAAAACCAAACAAGGGCTCAGGTTCTATGTGAATAGCGACTTACAGTATTATGGCACTACCTTTGTTCTAGCTTGGAATTTTTTTCCCGTCGATGACAGCCAGAGCTGTCAGACCGACCAATGTTCCTGCTGTCAGAGGATAAAAAGGATATCATTGTTCCTGCTGTCAGGGGATAGAAAGGATATCTTTGGTATTTCATTTTATATGCCAAATCTAAGCGAGTCATTCTTGTTAGTCTTTTGCCACAGAATAATAGAAGGTAAATATCGTGGCAGGATCACTGGGATGTGTAAAATTTAGAAGTCTTTGATACAAGGTTCTTGGGTGTTTTTAAGACCCCCTTCACACATAGCTCTCATATAGGAATTACTTCATAAGTTCAGAGAGCGGCTAAGGTGGGTGCAGCAGGTAATGTAATTGCTAAAACTTTAGTGTGATTGGTAGGAACTATACATCAGAAGGTAATGTAATTGCAGCAGGTAATGTAAGAGATGTACAGATCGCGAGACTTGGAAAAGCTGAAATCTCATATTTTGAATGGAAGTATGGAACCGCCTGATCCAAATCTGAACTGAATAGATCCTGCTTGTAATTTTATTGTGACTAAAATTGATTTATGATCTGAGTTTGCATATTGACAATAGATACCAACCTAAATAGACCACCTGAAAATGAACTGTAGGGCTCATCACCTGAGTATGATTAGAATCGAACTTGATGTGAATGACTTGCCACATCAAAAATACCCAAGTTATCAAATTGCTTCTTTGTAATATAGTGGGGCAAGTTATGTGTTGTACTTTTATGAGTTTAGTTTTGGAAAATACTGGTCCTTTGATGTTTGACATTCATTCAGGCAGGGTTTATTTGGTTATAATTCAGTATTAGAGAGGAAAGAAATATTTTTGAAAATATTTAGAAACCTTGCTTGCAGCTTCCTTTTAAATTGGTGCCAATTCCTATTAAATTTCTGATAATATTAGTTCTGTGTGATCATGCAGCACGTACTGCAGAACCATGGTTTACGGCTTTGTTTGGTCTATATGACTTATTATATGCGACTGTTAATTACAGACGAAGGGAGCATATAGTTTATATATGTGGTACTAGCAAGTACAACCGCAGAACTTTTTAATGGCCAGTAATTAGGCAGTTGAGATATCAGTTGGTCCTTTGCCGTACTCCAAGAGCTACATATGCGTACGTAAACCATTAAAACCATTTGTCTTGGACACTAATGGATTCCATCAATGAATGGCATTTTTCTTCTTTTGTTAAATGCTCTCCTTTTGGATTTGTCTCTTTGTCTAAATATCTCCGGACAGAAGCTTGGGTGTGAATCTACTGAGGTTACCGACCTTCAAAGAGCACCAATCAATAGTTAAGTCTTCGTAAAACCTTTTTGAAATCGTTGTCGTTGTCCATGTTTAACAGTTTAACACAAATTTATATATGTCGAACTACTGAGCGGTGTTTTGCAGGATTATTCTATTTAGCTAGCTAATTTAAGTGCAGAATCCATTTAAACTTATTAAAGCGTAAATGTACTGCTTAAATATATACAGGTATATATAAAACTTCACAAGTGTGTGGCTCAATGTTGGAATTTATGTCTGAAGGCAATATTCTCCTAAGCCTAACAGTACAGTTTGATTAACTATTGTAATGCTGGTGTGATTGGGTAGATTACCGAACATTTTGTCTCATTGATTTAGCTAAACATACTCCGTATTATGTTCATTGTCATCGTATAACATAAACATTTACCTACAGCATAGATAATTCTTCTCATATCATCATCTGTCTATTGGCATTAGGTATGCTGAAGGCAGAAGACAGTTTCCGCGAAACTCTGATGCATCTTTCTCAAAAACAAATTGTGTATTGATTTCTGATACCGAAAAACATAGTCTGATGGTTAATGCAACCAAGTATGGAAACTTCGGTTTATAGAATGTGGTTGATGTTAATCTGTTACTCAATTTCAGCCTCATTATGAATTAGGAACCTTCTGTTATTGTCTTATCATAATAGGAAATAATTATGTTCATTTCTATATTTGCTGCTTCAAACTCTGGTCTGCAATTGCATAAGTAGCAACTTATGTACGGACCACATGATTTTTAGTGAATAAGACCTTTGGAGATAATATCTGTCGACATCCGGTCGTTTACGTGTTAGCTTCTTCCCGTGACAACTTCATGCAGTCTCAAATAACCCCACGCGGTGTTCTATAAGGTCCTCCTTTTGCCACTCTGTGTCACCTTTTAACGTTTTCAGTGGTGACATTTTCTGAAATTTCTATCAGCAGTGCTGCTTGAGGCTTATATGCATCAAGATTTGGAATGGACATTAGGAATGTTGGAGTGAAATTATACATAGTGTGTAACTTTGTCACTACAAAAAATGAAATACCAATAAAGGTGTAAGGTAGCGCCAACTCCAAATTTAGACGATGTATTATTGGTATGGTATCATCAATGACGATTCAGATAAATTAATATAAGTGAATACGGAGTATATCAAGGTGAAAAGAACAAAGCCGTACTCTCATCCTATTTAGCTATGTAAGATTATCATAGATGCCTAAGTTGGAGAATAGTGTTAAGAAGCCTACCATAATGCGATATTAATTTGGCTAAATTGGTCTCTTGACTTTGTCGAAAAGTTAGTGGAAGTTGATATTTCTAATTGTTAGGGGACAAACTTAAATCTTATATTGGCCCCTTTCTCTCATAACCTCACTTGGATCATAAAGTTTAATAACGCAAAACAAATAGTACTCTATTTTTGTCATATATTAAAAAAAAAGCCACTAATTTATTGGTAGTTTTTCTTAGGAGCGTTATCTAATTTTAAATACATTGGAGAATTCTAATGTGAGACGGTCTCATGTTCGCAAGCCGAAAAATTACACCTCAATTTTTTTAATCATGAAAGTCATCCTTATCCGAATAGGTTGGAAGGAAGTTTCATAATTAAGTATGATGATATTTGTATGAGGAAATTAATTATTTTTAACCTTGAATTATATAATTAAGATCATTATGCTAGAGGAATAATGATGAGTATATACCTAAGGATAAACTATGCATCTTTATAAGTAGGTTCCACATCAAAAGAATCCATGCACAAAAGAGAGGTTTACATTTTGCAAGATAAATAAATAGTAGATTAATTGTGCGTTTATTAGGAAAAGATTCTAAATTGTGTGGTGCTTTACAAATAATCTAGTGTTACTTTTGATATTTCTATAAGAATCTTCCCAAAAATAATAGAAAAGCAAGGAATTTGAGAAGTGGATGGGAATCTGAATTTTTAATTACTATATTTTAAAATAGTTTTCGTAGGTTAATCATCTAAATTTAAGGAACATTATTAGGTCTTACTTGTATAATATAGGCTTAGATTCGGCAACTATAATAAGCTAGCACAAATATGACCACCGGAATTGGAACTACACAAATTACACGCACTACCTAGAAGATTATCCATTAAATTCATCAATAGCATCAATGTATCATAATATAACACACTTTCTTAATGAGAGGATGAAATATATTTTTAGTTATGATTCAGTTATTAAAGATATATATTAATGAAGAAATTTTTTAAAATATAATTTACTCACCTTGTATAGAAATCAAATTTGGTGATTAATTGTGTTAATTTTTTTTTTTTAAATGCAATAGTTAACTGGAAAAACTTTAATACTTATAGTATAATTTTAGCTCAATAAAAATCTCATAAATATACTTAACTAGATTAGGTCCCGTGCCATGCACGGTAATTAATTTCACTATTGTTTATAATTCAACACAAAAAATTTAAAACACGAAATAAAATATTTTGTATAATGCATGTGGACAAAATATATAACCATAGTATTTTTTTTATGTATAAAATTAAATGAAACATGAAATATAATGACGACAAAGTAATTAGACAAATAAGTTTAAAATTTTAATGATAAATTGATATCGTTTTTCTTTTTATTAACTAAATAATTAAGTATATATTTTAAAATTGTATATTAAACACTATGGGATTGTAACATAAATAATTACTACAGTGTATTTGATACAATTTAGGATAGTGGAAAACATATCTAATTTGTCGTGCTTTTGATATACATAAATAACTAAAAATTTAAAATAAATCAAATAAGATTGATATTGTAAAAAAAAAATAAAAAATAAAAAATAATAAAAAATAAAAAAATTATGCTAATAGGAAGCCGTTTCTTAATAAGAAATTAATTTTTTTTTGAAATTTCTAAATAGAGAATATATGAATGACAAAATAATAATAATAATAATAATAATAATAATAATAATAATAATAATAATAATAATAATAATAATAACAAAATAATTAAGTTGCTTGGTGGTCCTGCTAATTCTGATTCTGATTTTAGTGGTGAGCTTGCGATGCAGAGGGTGACCAAGACTATCGCGCTAATGGATAAGGTTGCCAACCTTGATGATCCTCAGTGTGAGCTATTGTTACTTAGGGCTTGTACCGGAGTTTCTAAACTCTACTTTGCTTTGCGTACTTGTCCCCCTAGTACTTTTGAGGCGGCTCAGCGTACTTTCGACGAGGCTCTTCGATCTTCCTTGGAGCGTATTGTTACTGCTTCGGGGCCTGGGTTTGGCGATTGGCAATGGCGGCTTGCTACCTTACCATTTGCGTTTGGAGGGCTTGGGGTTTACTTCGCTGGTGATGTTCGTCATTATGCCTTTCTTGCTTCTCGGTTACAGTCTGCTGGGTTGCAGACTCAGCTTCTTCGGCATGCTGGTGTTGTTGGTCTTGGACGAGCCTTTGTTGATGCTTTGAGTCTGTTTAATGGAATAGTGGAGTCTGACATTATGTCTAATCCTAGTGAGATCACTGGCCCTAAACTCATGAAGAAATTGACAGATATATATTTCACAAAGATTACGGCTTCTGCAGAATCCGCCTATTCTTTGTCTCCTCGGCAATCAGCATTGTGGAAATCGCAGCAGGGAGATCACACCTCTGCTTGGCTTCGGGCAGTCCCTATTTCTGGGTTAGGTCAGACGATGAATGCTAAGACCTACCGATGTGTGTTGTGCTACAGGATGGGTGTTCCTTTGTTCTTTATCTTGACACCATGTTTGGCTTGTTCTCGGGTTTTCACTAGGGATATTTATGGTGATCACGCGGTGTCGTGTGCTGTTATTGTGGGTATTAAACATCGGCATAATGTTGTTCGGGATACCCTTGTTGATATTTGCTACAGATCTGGGATTTCAGCTCGAAAGGAGGTGGACATAGGGTTGACTGGAGGGAATGATGGGCCCCTTAGACCTGCTGATGTGTTACTTTATTCTTGGGATCGTGGTCGTGATGTTTGTGTGGACGTTACGGGGTCTTCTCCTTTGACGCCGACTGGGCTATCTGACTTTGTTCCTGGACGGGCAGTAGATGATGCGGCTCATCGAAAGCGGGTAAAGTATGAAGCTAGTTGTCAACTCATTGGATATGGTTTCCTTCCCTTCTCCTTTTCTTCGCTTGGGGAATTTGAGAAGGATGCTGTTATGTTGCTGAAACGGGTTCAGAGGTTCTCGACGACGCAAGATATTGGAACTCGTGCTACAGCTCATATCTTCACTAGAGTAGGCTTTGCTATAGTTAGAGGAGTGGGGGCCCAGATTATATCTCGGCTACCCACTAATTTATTGTAGGTTGTATGACTTTGTTTTTGAGATATAATAATAATAATAATAATAATAATAATAATAATAATAATGTATACAATAAAAGATATGAAAAATATGTGAATTATATATATATATATATATATATATATATATATATATATATATATATATATATATATTAGGAAAGTGAATCACAATCAAATGATTTGATGAATATATATAAAGTATATTTACAATAAAAAAAAATAAAAAAAAGGAGAAAAATGTTTTGGAGGAAAAATACAGCATCAAAAAGTGACACGTGTCATTCCTAATGTCTGTTTTATATTATGTTATTATTATATTGATTTGAATATTTGCTATCTATACAATATTTTTTTGGACACATTCTATATAATATTTAAATTTGTCCAAAGATTATATTCAAAAAAATAATTAAAGGAGCAATATATTACCTTCTGTGTATTGACTTTTATGTATACTCCATTACTCCGATGTATAATAGGTTTATTACTTAATTTTAAGCAAATATAATCACTTTAAGTTATCATGAATACAAGTCAATTAGTGAATTAGGATGGGTCAATTTTGTATTGACTACCAATAGAAGACTAAAAGTACGGATTCTCCTATATTCTGTTCTCCAAGTCCTACTAGACCACAAGTCCACAACTACCGCCAATTTATTCTTTTTTTTTTAAAAAAAAAAAAAAAAAAAAAAATCGTACAAACTCCAAAATTACAGTTACAATACCCTTATCCACCGTTGGATCACACCCCTCACAACCTCACCTGCTCTCTCTTTTTTTTTTATTTATTTATTTTTTCCTTTTTCTTTTCTTTAAGTTTTACCATGGTTCTTATAAAGTCTTGGACAAATTTATTTCATATAAAATGTAGAAGTTTCCTTAAACTTAAACTCCTGAAATTTGAAGTACATAATTTATATCCGTCTTATCTTAAATCAAACCTCACATAATAATTCTTCTTATTCAACTTAAACTCTCATCGGAGGTACAAAGCATGAAATTTTCTTAAACTTGTACTCCATGTAAAAATTGAAGTATTCGTAGTAACTTATATCCGTCTTACCATCAATCCGAACTCACATGATGAATGAGTACTTTCCCTTATTTAATGCCCCAGAATATTCCCTTCTCAACTTTAACTCTCACTCCCTCTCACTCTCACCCTCACTCTCAAAAGTCTCAACCAATACTCTCACTCTCTCTCTCTCCTCCATTTACAAACAATGTTGAGCAGAGACTACGAAATCATCGAAGAAATCGGCAGCGGTCGATTCGGCGTCGTTTCAAAGTGCAAATCCCGTTTTACCGGAGAATTCTTCGCCGTCAAATCCATCGCCAAATCCTCTGTTTCCGGCGACACTATCGACTCTCAATCCCTCATCAACGAACCCAAAGCTCTCCTCCTCCTTTCTCTCTCCTCCACGTCATCATCTTCCTCCTCGTACATCACTCGTCTTCACTCCACTTACGACACTCCCTCTCACCTCCACCTCATCCTCGACTTCTTCCCTTTTCCCTCCCTTTACGACGTCGTTTCACGCCATCACCGAATCCCCGAACCCGAATCTCGCTCTATCATTTTCTCTCTCCTCCACGCCATCCTACATTGCCACCAAAACGGCGTCGTTCACCGCGACATTAAGCCCGACAACATCCTATTCGACCCGGTTACAAAACGGGTCAAACTCTGCGATTTCGGGTCGTCTGGGTTTGTTAACGACGGTGGGAGGATGAATGAGGTGGTTGGGACGCCGTATTACGTGGCACCGGAGATTCTAGAAGGAAATGGGTATGATGAGAAGGTGGATGTATGGAGTGTTGGTGTCGTTTTGTATGTAATTCTTGCTGGAATTCCGCCATTTTATGGAGAGAGAGTAGAAGAGGTTTTTGAAAAAGTTTTGAGGGGTAATTTGAGGTTTCCTTCAAGGGTTTTTGGGAATTTCTCACCTGCTGTTAAAGATCTTTTGAGGAAGATGATTTGTAAAGATGTTTCCAGAAGATTCTCTGCTCAAGAAGCTCTTCGTAAGTTCTCTGTTTTTTTTTTTTTTTTTTTTTGGTAGTTTTAATTTTAATTAATTGCATGGCGTATTTTTTGACCTAATTTTGATTACTCTGCATTCTTGCATACGTTTAATTTTTTATGAGCTACTAATTTAATTTTTATTTTTTGAAGTTTTTTTCTCGTTAAAGTCGTATAGAGTTCCGTTATTGGATATAAATACGTGTTCAAGTGTTTTGATTACGCGCATTTTTAGTGAAATTTTACATGATTTTAGTTGAGGAATTATATATGTGGGGTTAAATGAAGAGTTGAGTTTACATGAATTGCTAAGTTTTATTATTCATTAAATTAGTTATGTAGATTATTGAATTGTATAGTTTTGAAATATGTAGGAGATATTGGGTGATTTTAAATCCCGGATTGCATGCAATAGATTAGTTTGGGTATCATTTTGGATCAAATTTGATATTGCTACCCTTTTTTGGTGGATTATGTTATAATTTTTTTTTATTTTTATTTTTTGATAATTTGGTGGATCAAAGTGTTAAATCTTTTTTTTCCCCCTTATTTTTAAATGGTGGTGTAAGACTAATTAGAGTTAAAATTATGAAAAATAAGTGCAATTTGAAAATATTATTCCTCTATCTTATTCCCCTGTTTATGTGTTTCTTGATGAGTACTAATCTTGTTTGATCCAATATATAAAAAAGAAAATTACAAAATTAAATTAAATGGAGTGGGAATTATTGAAGGTGATACTCATAAAATTATTGAATATTCTTTTGTTTGACTGATAGTACATGCATTAGTACTAATGTTTTCTAGACCCCTAAACTACTTTATATGCATAATAATATTGTTATATGAAAGCTAATTAAAGTTATATCTTGAGTCCTCTTTAGATACCGTTAATAGTTCTATTTCAATAATATTTTGGAGAAGATGATTGCTTATTATGATCTTTTTTAATCTGTAATCAACCATATCCACAGTATTGACTTATATAATTTTAATTAATCAATCAACCTCAATATACAAACGACAAAGATTGGGTGTGCGTACCACGTACGTTCACAATCTTATGTGTCAAAACCTATATAATCTGAATTGTTGTAATCTTTTATTCGTCTCAAATACCTGTATTAGATCATCGATACTTTGACATGGATGTAGAATTTTGACAAGTGTACATAATATTGAGTTTATTAGTCCCAAGAGTAGGTCATGAATATGGTATGCATGTCAAGTAGGTCCTCATTGCATAAAAAAGTTCATTCTTAGTATGAATTTGGTATAAATGAACTAATATGAATACGTTTGAATGATATGTAGGACACCCTTGGTTCATGGCAAATGGAGGGCAACCTACGACAATGACCTGAATCTATATAAAATTAATACAAGAAGACAACATAAGAGTATATAATATGAATATGAATATGATGGTAACAAAGCTAAGTAGTGTTCTGTTTTTAGCTTTGCGAGGAAGTAATGTAAATGAAGTAAAAGTGTTTGGTAGTAGTTGTTGTAGTTTTCTAGCTATAAAAGCCCGGTTTTAATTCAACATAGTGGCTTTTGCTTGCCTTTGTTTTTTAGCATTTGCGGGAAGGGTTAGGAGTATATGAGCAGCAATATGGTGTAGGCAGCTCTAATTTGGAAGATATTGTACAAACTGCTAATGGGAATATCTTCTGCTTTCTATACTTGTGAATCTTGTTGTTGTCTCATTCTTTTCATGTCTCTATCTTTCAGTACAAATATGTACTTGTACGATACATGTTTGTAAGGAAAATAAGTTATGAGGGTCTTTCCTCGCGCAAATGATTTGATGCGTGTTGCGCTTGAAGTTGGCGCATATAGGACACAACTCGACCCTTCACATATGCATGTTGTTTTTCTTATCAAATAAACAGACTGTATAACGTTTATAATATAGGATAAGTTTCAACTACTATAAATAAAGATAAATTCACTTTAGTAATAACATCAATAAGACCAAAGAGAGGAATATTGACTAGTCAAGACACTAGCACTTATAAGTATTTGACCCGTAAATAATAGATAAAAAAAAAATCACGTGAATTGAGATTTATTGACATGTGTTTAGTTATATCAAGTGACTGTTTTGTAGCCACAGTGACCAATAAGATTGATAAAAATGACCTGAGAAGCATGGTCATGGACCTCATGGTAAGCATGGAACTTGGGGGCTGGGGCTTATGAAAGTCAAAGGATATCCATAACTGAATTTCATTAATTTTGGTCAAATTTTAGGCTTTTTGGTTTAATTGGGCCAAATTTTAGGTTAGAACCATATGTCAATATGGGCCTCTTTGATTTGCAATAATTTAATCTGGCCCAAATGGATTTAATTATATAGACCAGTTGACATGGATCAGGATTCTCTGCTTCACAATAATGAAATAGCCCACTAGGATTGGTTAGTATATGTAGCAAATTGTTTGAGCCATCACAAATTGAATTTGGGTTCACTTTTCACTTCCAACCTAGAAATTTATATCTTCTAAATCTGGTTGATGTTAATAATTCAAGGAGATTTTCATTTTATACAATTAATAGGACCAAAATTTACTATCCATTTTCTCTTTAATTAATTAGCTTCTTTCTTTCTATTCATCATCATTTTTTTTTTGTTCCACCCGATTCACTTTTTAGGCTAATTCGGATTTGTAGATCAATTCTGGGTGGTTAGGTTCCAATCCCCTCCCAATTATTATTGTGAGGGATCGAACACGCAATCCTCTCTACCAAGTACAGTCTCAATCACCACTACACCAATAGCCAATTGATTTCTAATCATCATCATTAGAAAAAAAAAATATCCTTTTCCTATTTTGAGTACTCGCTAATATACGTTGGTAAAAACAAAAGTGCGCACAAAATTTTACTTAAGAATTCTCTACTAATTTATTCTGTAACCTCTTCTTTATTTTTTTGGGTTTTGTAAGAAAAATTAGGCCATATGTAATGGAACCAAAGGAGGTCATTAGTAAAAAATGGATCTTAACGTTAGGAAAAAAAAATTAAAATAAAGTGAATAGAGCTGTAGAGATTAGAGAACTAACAAAAACAAATGAAAAAAAACCAAGTAAACTTAAAACCAAGGGAGGTCATTAGTAAAAAATGTAGAGCAAAGTTATGTTTTTGTTATACCATTGTTCAAGAGTTATTATTTTATACTCCCTCTATCCATTTATTTGTGCCCGATTGTTATTTTTTGGGTCAAACTTATAAATTTTAACTGTAAATTACCGTTAATCTATAAGATATAATATAGTCATGAGTGATCTTGTTAGATTCGGCTCATTGCATATTTTAATAATATCATATTTTTATAATTTTAACGTGTATGAAAATGAAGATATGTGCATTCTAAAACGTGTCTTAGAAACCGTGAAAAATCAAATGGGACAAAAAAATAGGGATAGAGGGAGTACACCGAATAGCATGATGTGTATTATGATCCTAGTTAAAATTCTTTTCATTATACTTACATGTTCTTTTATCGTAGTTTCAAGTTTTGAAAATGATGGACATACTTTATGAATTTATTAGTATACACGTTCAATAAACTCAGTGATATATAATTGGTTACTAATAAAAGAAAAGGCCATAAGGGAGTTCAAGAGGCGAGTGAGAGTGACTGATAAGGATTAAGAAGGGTGTGTAAAAGTCAAGGTGGCATGTATCAAGCCGAAAGAGCAAAGTAAGAATGTTGGCGTGGAGTGGAGTGCTTGTTTTGTTAGCACAATTTTATATATAGAGTGAAAGGGGATTTTGGGCGATAAATTTCCCTTTTCTAAGATACTCTTATATATATATATATATATATATATATATATATATATATATATATATATATATATATATATATATATATATTAATAAAAGAACTACTAATTTTTTTTTAGAGAAGTCAAATTTTATTATTTAACCTACATGATATCATCAACATATTTTTTTTAATAATATTTTTTTATTACTATTATATTTCATCAATAATTTTTAAACCCACTAATATTACCCACTTAGAGGTATTCACCGTGCGAGTCGTGCAAGCTGGGTTAGGGTTAGGTGGGTCGCGGGTTGGGGTTTCATGACACACGGCACGACACACGTAGGGTAGGGTGGGTCGGGTCGTGGGTTGGGTCGGAGAAGTTGGACACACCAGGGTTAGGTTTGTGGGTTAGACGAGTCGTGGGTGGGTCGAGCTGGGTTCGTGGGTTAGACGGGTCGTGGGTGGGTCGAGCTGGGTTCGTGTGTTAGACGGGTCAAGGTGGGTTAGTGGGTTAGGGTGGGTCGAAGGGTGGGTTAGGGTCGGGTGGGTTCGTGGGTTAGGTGGGTTAGGGTTGGGTGGGTTCAAGGGTTAAGGTCGGGTGGGTTGTATGGTGTTTTAATTTTTACAAAATTAACAATTTGATGGCTTGCTCAGTTGCTCTTAATTAAGATGCCTACGTGTCCTTATATTATAAAATAAGGAATCAAAGCCAACATAGTTCTTATATTGTACTTCTTTTGGAATTTGGGGGGAGGGGGTCTTGGACCTATCTTTAGAAAACTAAAATTTAATTTTGCAATTAAATTGTAATTTTCGAAAAATAAGTTGCCTACGTATCCCGAAAGAATCAAAGCCCACGTAGTTCTTAGCGTACCTGTTTTAGACTTTTCTAGCCACCCATGTTTGTTGCATCATCATCCCCGGAAGCTACATCATCCGTTGACGACTCCAATATCATCACATGATCATCTTCATCGTCTTCGTCTTCCTTTAAACCTTGAGTTCTTCCTTCAGCTTGATCCCAATCTTTCTTACAAACACAAATTTGAATGCTTTCCGGAGTTAAGCGAGATCTTTTTTCATCTAACACTCTTCTACCTGCACTAAAAGCAGACTCGGAAGCAACGGATGAAGCGGGAACTGCAAGTATATCTTTTGCAATTCTTGCCAATATAGGAAAACTTTTTTTTTATGTTCTTGCCACCATTTTATAATTTGAAAGTTGTTGTTGGTCTCATGTTGATATGACAAATAATCATTAATAGCAAGTGTTGAAGAAGATGAATATGAGAATGATGTAGATGCTTTGTGTATTTTTTTTCATAACTTTATCAAGAAAACCAAATCTAGAATCGGAAGTGCTAGAAGTAGTTGGTGTTGCCAAATCAAAACCATAAATAGATGCATAATGATCATAAAGGTCTCCCAAAATAGATTTGCATTTGTTAATATATTCAATAACATCATAATCGATACTTAAACTTGTATAATAAAATACTAAAAGATTTTCCAAACCTTCAGCTTTGACACCGGGGTCAAAATAGTAGCAATTCCATAAATGATTGGAAATTCACTAAAATAAGTGTGCCACTTACGTTTCATGCCATCAAGAACGGGACGAAGTCCATCAATCATCATATGCTCTTCGATGGTGTGAACAACTTTAACACACTCAACTATGACTAAATGAATGTTAGGCTCATAAATATAAGAGAAAATATGAGTTGCATTATCAAAAGCATTTAAAACATCACGAACAAAAGAAGCATTAGTCCAATGACTTTCGGTTATAAACTCAGTAGGATCAACACGAGTCTCATTGTAAAGTTGGGTCAAAATGGCACGATACTTTATAGCGTCACTCAACAACTTGAAAGTAGTATTCCAACGAGTAGGGGTATCAATAGACCATTGTCTTTTCTTAAGACCTCTCTCTTTACACATAGCTTTGTACTTTCTTCTAACCGACTGAGTAATCCTAATCCATTTTATAACTGTTCTAATTGGGTTTAGCAATGGTTGCAACTCAGCAAGACCCTCTTGAACAGACAAATTCAAAATAAGAGCACAACATCTAACATGCAAGAGACTACCACCCAACAACAAATGCAACTTGGAGTCATTTTTCAAATAGTCAATACACTTTGTGTTTGCAGTTGCATTATCAAGAGACAAAGAAAAAACTTTATTATTCAAGTGAAATTCTTTTAAATAATCCAAAATACGAATTTTGATGTTAAAACCGGTATGCCTTTCTTCCATAGCTTGAAAACATAGTATACGTTTTCGAATAAACCAATCATCATCCACCCAATGAGGAATAATGCAAAGAAAAGGTTCGCCAAAACTAGAAGTCCATGTATCACTTGTAAAACTAACACGACCATCAAAAGTACGAAATAATTCAATCAAACCACTCCTATACTTATAATAAGAAGTTAGTGTATAACATCTTAGGGTATTTCGGGGGACACGAGTAAATGCAGGTTGTAATGCAACTTTATTAAAATGTTCAACGTTTGCATTTTCACCGTAACTAAAAGGGTATTCATTAGCAATAACTAAAGTACTCATTTCATCAATCATTCTATCTTTACTATAAATGAAAGGAGTACCTCCGCCGGGTTGGTTCATGTATCAACCCAATTGTGTTTGGACGCCACCCCCCGATGGACGGGGGCCATATTCGAACAAGTCGTGTTTATTTTGCAAATGTCAACTCAAGGTTCCGGTTCCATCTCTCGTTTTCCAACTATATAACTCGACATTTGCGCCTAGTGCCTTGCAAACTAGGCATGTACACGTGAACCTCTTCGGTTGACCGGGTTGCCATCCCGGGGGTGTGTCGTTCAAAATGTTTCCACACCCAAGAAAATTGTGCTAGACCTCTACTTTCACCGCCAC